ACCATTCAACGATTCAAGTTTTTTATTCTTCTTCTCGAGAAATTATGGATTATTTAAGTGGATTTGCAATAAGATTGAATGTGAAAGTCATACAAAAACACTACTTGAAGTAAGAAATCAGTGACAGGTTCCCAGTCACTGGATTATAGATCACGTTCTTAGTTTTAGTTTAATACAGGAAAAATGATTGGATTTTTTATGTTCTCGAAATACCCAATAATGAAGACCACTTTCTTCATTCTTGCCATATTTGGGTCCGGTTAAGTGTTTCTTCCCAATGATAGAGACCGAACAATAATAATTAAACTACTTTAATTAATTTGAAATAGATTTCTCGACACGGCAATTGAACGATTGATCCATGCAACTATCAATATATAAAGTATTGATGTTTGATTTTAATATCAAACAACTTCATATATATAAAGTGTTGTGAAATTACACGTAAGATGATTATGAGAGTAGATTATGTCATATTTTGGTCCAGTTAAATGTTTCTCCCTAATGATAGAGACCAAACAATAAGAATTAAACTACTTTAATTAATTTGAAACAAACTTCTAGACATAGCAATTGAACGATCAATCCATACAACCATCAACGTATAAAGTTATTGCTGCTTGATTTTGACACCAACGACTTTGTACGTATAAAGTGCTATGAAATTACACGTAAATGATAATATATGTTTGAAGAAATATAAATAAAAGATTGACAATAGAGATTTTTATACTAGTTTAGATGCTTAAAGCGAATCCTACGTTCACTATTATTTTATTATTCTCTTAACTATTTTTCTAATATTGCTTATAAGACGTACAAAAATGAAGTAATGTTTTGTTTACAGAGAAAAATAATGGTTAAAAACAATGTTTTAAAACTTGACTCGGCCCGTCTGGTTGAACCGGTTCAACCGGGACCCGGAACTTCAACAGGCCAGGTTTAATTTTTTCCTATTCACCCAATACCCTAGGATTTCCGGTGATGATCGGCGAACAATTAACTATTGGAATGTTTGGGCTTTTGAAGAGAAATTTCCGGTAAATATAATGGTGGTGAAAGATTTGATTTCCAGTGATTGATGAGGCTAACGGGGGTGGGGTGAGGTGGTTTTGGTCAGGAGGAAAAGGGGAGTAATTCTGGGGTGATGGGGAGGGTTGTTGTTGCCGAAATTGATGGGATCTGGCCTGGAATGCCGACGTCGACATCGGTGAGATCTAGCCAAAATCAAACCTATTTTGGCCAGATCTTGGATATATTTTGATGGAAATGGGCCCAAGGGATGATTGGGGTTGCATCTGGGGTGTTGCCGCCACTAATTAGTGGCCGGTCGATTTGCAGTTGGGGTGTGTTTGATAAATTTCAAACCTATAGGGACTTAACAAACTTTTAGGGGTATATTTGCTCAATTTTAAAGTTTTTTGTCAACCGGTTTGACCGTTGGTTAAACCGGTCAACCCGGGACCCGAAAGCTTTGTTGGGTTTCACCCCGGGTTGGGTTTTAAAACATTGGTTAAAAACTCAAATGTATGTCTAGCTCTCATATGTCCAGCCCCCATTTGATGAAGATTGTTGCTCATTTATATAGCTAAGTCTAATGTAATGAATATTTTTATAAATTATCTTGACATGTGAGGACCCCTCCTTAACCATGGTCTTAAAATGGGATAAGATTGATATAAATACTCTTAATAACAGCTTAAGTCCATTTAACTCTTGTTGAACTTTGATTGATGGGATTGGACAACTCATTCAGATTGATGGTACTGATGTTGGTGTGTATTTTATGCCTTTCAGAATTTCTTGGAATGTGATGATTATCAATATGAAATTTGATGGACATGGGCAAGCAAGCAACATTATCCATCAACTTGTATAGAGTACAGCATCTCCAAGTTGACTGATAATGGAGGCAGCCAGTAGCCAGGCCTCGTGAACAATCTGCAACCTCAAAGTGCCATACAGAAATTGATCCATTATTATCAGCACGTACTTATAGTCGATCACGTGGTTGACTATAAATAAAATATAAAATCAACAAGAGGCCAACGGTCATTTTGTCTGGTTGTTAGTTTATGATATCTTGACATTTCAATGGCTTAATTTTTGCAGAACGTATCTTCTCTTTGACAAACGGTGTGTATTCATTTGAAAGGAAAATAATCCAGGAAGATTTACTACGTAATTTGAGTTTTGATACGTGGGGGCAATTTGTTTTGTTTTTGGCTGTTGAAATTGGGTTAAGTTCCAACCAAAGAGTAACAACAACACAAAGGATGTTTAGTTTCCAACTTCAACTTGTTCAATGGATGTCTTTGTCGAAATCTCAACATTATCCAGTGGAGTAGTTGGAATGTCAAAATCTGTGTATGTTCTTGTAATTACTATTTAAGGGGTGTTTGTCTGAGCTTATGAAAATTAGCTTATAAACAACAAGTACTTATAAACTAATTTTAACTTATAAGCATTTGAAATTTTAAGTAATTACGTGTTTGGTTAAAGTACTTATAAGTGACTGATAAGTAGTTGACGTGTTTGGTAAAATGTGGCTTATAAGTACACTTTATTATAAAATGACTAAAAAATGTACTACATTAAACAAGAGTATACTATGAAATTTTAAAATTAAACAAGGATAATGTGGTAATATATTTGGTCAAACTAGCTTATAAGCAAAGTGCTTATAAGCCCAAAAAAAAAAGTACCCCACCCCCCAACTTTTTTTTTTTTTTTTTTTTTTTTTTTGCTTATAAGCTCAACTTATAAACTCAAAAAAATTATAAACAAACAAGTCAGCTTAATTTCAGAGCTTATAAGTAAGTTTAACCAGCTTATAAGCTTAGACAAACACCCCCTTAGATGCTTAGATAATGCCGCTGGGATATTCCTATTGAAGTAATATTAGATTCAATTTCTTGACTTTGAATCAGGGCGGCTCAGCTGGTAGCCAGGTGAGGCACCTGCCTAGGGCCTCCAAAAAAATAGGGTTACGGCCAAATTTTTTATAATTTTTTTTAAATATATTACAAAAATAAAAATAGTATATAATTTCTTATCTAAGTCAATCTAAGGGGCTAAAAAAAAAACCCAAAAAGACCTAAATTTATTATAAAATTTTTACATATATTCCCACCCAAAGTTTAACGAAATAGAAATTTGTACCTCTAGTTTCATATATTCTAATTTACACCCCTAAATTAACACATTAAATTTCTTTTAACAATAAAAGGCTAAAATGGTCATTTATATGTCTCAAATTACTAACCCCCAATTCAATCCCAAAATTTGACATTCACATAAATCATCTCCACCCCTTTTCTGCCGTCGGCCATTTGGAGTTTATTTTGATCGATTTTCTCATCAAAATCAACCGAAATCATCACTTTATCATTTTCCAAGTGTTTTTCCAGCCTTAATAGCTCTCGATTTGAGTAATTTTTTTATGAATCTTGCAACCTAGTTCCATTGCTTGTGACAGCCATTTTCGACCTTTTTGGCATATACCTGGCATTGTTGGCCTTCCCCAACACCACCATCTTCCTCCCCTCAGGCTTCTCATCAAAACCCCTATCATACCTCATTTGTTTACTCTGTCAATCATCGACCACCAATACCTTTTGGGCCGCGACTTCTCAAGTCTTTTCCGGTCAATCCTGGCATTGGAAATCACTTATTTCACCATCCATCGCAATAATTTTTTTAATATATGCTTATATTATTAGAAGACTCTCAAAGTAACTTTTGTCAAGGATCATAAATGTTCTTAAGACGGCCCTTGCTTTGAATCCTCAATATCTTGAAATCGTTATATGTAAAAGAAGATAAACATAAACACTGAATTGAAATCCGTCTGCCAGATGATACCAATTATACACCCGCTTCTAGAAAGCCGTATATAATAAACCTGTTAGATACAAATGAACCAGAAACTGTTACTCTGGTTTTGGCTATAACAAAACTACTGTTTGGAAGACCACAAAAACAAAAGCCCAATACCAAAAATGTAAGATAGTAAATATAGTGTTTTAATGGATGACATGGTACTTTGACAGTACATTCTAAATGGGGTTTGCTCTATTCAATAAATACCAGCAGTTCAGTAACTTTTCTATGGTGACTGCCTGACTGGTGTATTCACTTATACTAGAATATGGTTTCTTTTACAGTAGAAATGAAGGTAAATTTGAGTAAAACTTGAACTAGTTACGCTTTCACTAAACAGTAGAAGAATTTACTAGGTTTCGACTTGGAATGATTTAGTCCACATAAAAGGGATGAATCACTCATTGAAAAACATGGACTCCCATGTCCATCCCACACATGAAGGCCCACGCACCAGCCTTTTACTTCAATTTTAGCCATATCCATGCATTTATAGTAATTACTGAAACAAGGTGTCTGGTTATTGAGGGGCAAGAAGATCCATATTCTCTCAATCGACAATAAAAAGTGCGATCTCCTAATCTCCAATATGTCAGTGAAATCTCAAAAGGAGATCTTCTTCATCTCCAATTTCAATTACAAACGCCTCTGGAATATTGGCAACCATCATTCAGCTGATAATAATTCCAACTGTTGGTCAATTATATAAGATTTTACTTTCAAGTCAACAGCCCCTCTCGTCCTAGCGTCCTCAATGCTTTTGACCCACACACTTTGTTTTAAAACCCAGACGGGACTGACTAGACCAACCGGTCGACCCAAGACCTAGCAAGATACTAAGTCACTCAACAGTCGGGTTTTAAAACAGTGCTCACACTGCATATTATTGTCTCATACTCTGTCCTCCTCTTTTTTAATTTTTTTTTTTTTTTTTTTCAATTTCGTAGAACTAAATGTTCGATGGAAAATGGCAAGTTAACTTATGTTGCTTCAGTGTTGAAGACCACCAACTTAATTCTACCGAAGCTAATTTGCAATTATCATTGTTTAACAAAAACAGAGCCCAATGTATGACCCAATTGTTGATTTAATTCTTCATAGCAAAAAAGGGACTTCAATTTCAGTTCACTAAATACCAAGATTTTAAATGCCAAAGCACATTTACATTTACAACCACAATAAACAGAGACCTTTATCCTTTCCCACCCAACATATTCACATAAGCTAATCTCCTACGGTTTCATCTAACTCCCACTACAGCATTATGACCTGTTGGTCCTGCAAACCCAGTCAATTTTTCTTTCAGTCTTCCTTTGATAGTTAGCTTCAAAAAACGAGCTATCAATTAGCCACCTTTGAGCCCGAAAATAAACCGAACCTTACTTCCAACAACAGACGATGACAACAACAACAACAAAAACTGACTTGACAAAAAGGAGAAACAGAAGGGGAGAAAAGAAAGGTTCTGTCTTTCAGTTTTCAGCTGAATCTGAGCTTAGCAAAATCCCTTCACCTTCAATGGAAGACATAGGAAGTTTGCTTCCTGAACTCATTTTCTTTACTTCTTGGCTTGAACATATGAAAATTCTTCTCACCATGTTACAGAATTCACTGCATCACAATAAAATCAATAAAAAGAGAATAAATAAAGAAAATTAAATTTACAAACATATAACTAGAATGAATCCAAGTATTTGGGGCATGATGCGTTATAACTTTTGATAGACAGTAGCAAAGGACACTTACACCCACGGATCATCCCCCACGAGCATCATATCCCCTTCATCATCAGTATAAACAATTTCCCACTTGTTCCTAGTGCGAAGCTGTCCCTTTATGTCAAACATCTCCTCAAGCTCGTCTATAAGCTGATCATACCCTTCCAACATGGTCAAGTCCACCGCCCGACCAACAGCAACCCCCTGCATTTGAACCTTTTGGCGTATTCGAACACCAAACATGGAAATTTGTGTCAGAACCTGATAAAGAGAGCATAAAGATTTCAATAAACAGGTTTAATACCTAAAATAATTTTGGTACCTTGGTGCGACTTCTGGTAGATGTAGAACTACTTTGCCTGCTCTGAATCTCTTTTGGTGAAACCTGTACCTGTTCAGGTTTCTTTTCTCTAAAAGTCTTTGAAAGATCAGATTTTTGATCTGAATCACCTGCTGACAGGGTACAGAGATTGTGTCTTTCTGTGGTGACACTAGAAGCAGCTGCTTTTTCCATTGTAGTAGAGCTCGTAGAATGATTTATGAGATCGATGCCAAATAATCGGCAGCTAGCACCCATCTCAGTTTTCCTCCCTATTTCAACTAGGTCAGGCATTGAGTCATTGTTGACCTTTGATGAGTGTGAAGTTGAATAGCCATGGATAGGACGCCAAGCAGAAACATTTTTATTATCATCCACAGCATCTGGAAACAACTGTTGAGAAAAACTGACATGTGGGGAAGCTAGCCACTCTCCATCAGTCTGAGTTCTTGACAAAGAGTTGCTATTACTGTTAAAATCAGTCTGTTTACTATGCCATGAGACATGATTATCACTTCTTTTTCCTTCAGTAACACTCAGTTGTGTTACATCATGGGACTGCGTCAGACTAGAATTCCAAGGAGCTGATGCGGTTGAAGTCAAATCTATCCACACAAGAAGTATATTAGCAAACTGAATTCATCCAGTACCAAAAAGAATGTTTCTATTTTCACTTACCAAGAGATGGAATTTCAATAGGTGGTCGAGGCCTTTTGTTCTTCATTGAAACTGGTGGAGCAGGATTAGAAGGTACTGAAGCCACAAAGGGTTCTATGTCCCATGGTGAAACCCTATCAGGTCTTGTAATAGATGCAGGCTCATCCCATTGAACCTAGGAAAGAGATCAAGCAAATTAATATGGGAATTATTTACTTCAAGGTGGTAGTGAAGTGGGAATTGGAACCATGTCAATCTAAGAACTTACTTTCAGTGATCGCCATTTTGAATCTTTCCATTGAGAACAAAAGTCTTCAACTCCAACAATTGTGCCCGAAAACCTAATCATTCAAAATATATGGAGCAAGCAATTATCAAAGAGCCCAAAAAACAAGCAAGTTTGAAAAGGCACAATACTAGAATTTTATTACCTTCTCTCAGGAGAATCCTCCCCCTCAAACCTCATCTTAAATCTCATGCCGACGGCAAATTTATTGTTAACAGCCTCTAAGTACTTGTTCAAGCTGATGATGAATTGGCTGGTCCTGATGATCAACCAAAATGGATCAGAATTCAGCTAATAGAAACAGCTTTTCCCATTCAATTTAAAAGCGGTTAAAATTGAATACCTTGGCTTATAATACACAACAAAGAGGGTCCGGGTTGCAACAGCATGAGATGCAGTAGCAAGCACACCTAAGTGCATGCTCTGGCTTGAAATCACAGATGATGGCATGCTGCTCTGTTGATGAGCAAGACGCCTTACTCCAACACATAGTTCCCCATTCTCCCCCCTGGATAACCCATAGTCCATATGAGAACTGGAAACGAAAAACAAGGAAATGAGAATAGATAACAGAGCATATACCTCAAGAATACGAAGGTATCCCCAGCAACTAATCGCTTGGAAGTAACAAATGTACTCCATCCTGTTGTCAGCAAATGTCTCCTGGGTTGACCTATTCATGTCACAACAGATTAATGAAACATGAGTTAAGTTTGAGATTACTAAGTGTTTCCTGAAACAGATAGTTTGACTCTCAACAGACTAATTTGTTCAAACTCATAATGACCAGAAAAGAAAAAAAAAAAAAATCCTCTAAATTTTTTTTAAAACTTAAATAAATCAACTAGTAAGCATCAGGCTCCAAGTACACAATTTATTACCTCTGAAAATATGCTTAAATCGCCATTCAAACCCATGAAGATCTTTGGCCACCAACTCCTGAGTTGGGGTTTGCTGATTCATGTCCTGAAGAAAACCCACAAATGGAAGTCAACGCATTGGATCTATTGAGATCAGAAGAAAGAAATACAGATATTAAGCAACTTGAGCACAAAGAAGAAAAAGTAAAAAAGTTCCATTACCAGCGGAGGAAGACACTCAGTAGCATGTTTCCGAAGAACAGAAAACCCACCATGGGTGCTTGTATCAGAGGCAGTTAAAACCTTGCAGAATGAGTGAACTGTTGGCCTTGGAGTTTCAGAAGGGCATGGATCAGGAGTTATCGGTTCTTCTTGCTACAAGTTTTTTTTTTTTAAATGAAAATCAGTAACTCTGAACAAAAAAATATATATTTAACTTTTTGCAGCCCAAAAATATGAAGATACCAGAATTAGAAAACAATTCAATGAGTTTCTTACTTTTGATTCTGGCAGCAGAGTAATTTGTGCATAAACCTCATCTGTTTCTTGCTCAGCCTATAGATAGGACAAATCAGAATCAGTTTCATTCATGTAAACCTTTTTTTTTCAACTTAATTTGTTGGTCCATTTGGTTTCTAATAAAATACCAAAAACAGAAAACCCTAACTTGAGGAACCAAAAGTCTAACTAACAATCCAAAGGAACTTAATTATAAAATTAAAGATAAAGAACAGAGAAATACCAGTAGATTAATGTTAATAACACGACATAGAATCTTCGATGGAAGAGCGAACACCGGAATTCGCTGATTTGGTTCCTGATTTGTCGAAGCCTCTAACTACACTCACACAAAAGTATATATATCTCAATTTCCCTCCAGTACTAAACCATTTCTATAAGTCAAACTTTTTACTGCCACTTTTTCCTAAGAAAAAAAATTCTTTTCCCGTGAAACAAACAGAAAACCGATCTAAAATAAAGCTTCAATGATAAACAAACAAATTAAAAAAAAAAAAAAAATCACTTGTTCCATGTGTCCTTGTGGAAAATAATAGACCCTCTCTCCAGTCTTCGGCACGTCCACTAAAGGCCCAGCACAAGCCTTCCATAGCTCGGTGTACAAACCAACTGCGCCAACAAACAAACAGAAACATATTCAGCAAATTTTCCAGGACAAAGAGGGAACATCATAATCAAACGGTCAATTTTAATTTCATTTCACCTGAACTATTACTACTCGGCTCCGAAAACGACCCGACCCGATTCGCCATCGTTGAAACAAACGTGAAAGTCAAATAAAAACACTCTCTGTCAACCTAATTTAGCTCCCTATATACGTACAATCACTAGAGTGATTAAAACTCGATAATTATGATTAACAATCAATTAATAACGAGCAGTTAATATGAATTTTTATAACAAACTCTCTTAAGACTTTTTCGATTCCTGAACACACACTTCACACACACACTCAATCTGTAACGATCGCCAGATCCAAAAACCGTAACTGAAAACCACTAAAGCGTTACAAAACCACCTTCAGAGCTCGTAAAACCGCTCTCTCTCTTCTGAAACTGATAGAGAATCCACGAAAACGCCGTTACAGAGAATCCAGCAAAAACCGCTTTGCGCGCGTCTTATATTACGCGACTTCGTTGCTTTTGTCCAGTTTTGTCTGCTTTTTCACTGTATTGTTTTTTGTGTTGTGTTGTGTTGTAACGCTCAACTGAACTAACCATGGTTGTGATTTAACCGTGGTGAGCGGTTAAAGTGCACTGTTGGAAATCAAACGGAAAGCTTAACCTGACTTTTCATAACGGCGATGGCTTCCATTCTTCCTTTAATATTAATTCCTGATTTCCTTCCAATAATTTTGTGATGGGGGTGTGTGTTGGAATGCGTGTGGTTAAGCGTAACGGATGCCGTCAGCTAGATTTTGAGCGTTACCGTTAGTTGCCGTCTCTTTCGTTGTCTGCTTCGAAGCAGGCAACAGGGTTGGCTCGAGTTAACCCGGCAGAATTTTGGGGTCTTTTTTTGAATTTTTTTTTTTTTTTTTGGAAGTTAATGATTTCAGTTTGACCCCCGGTTGAGTCGATATCTACGGGATTTGCCATTCATGTGGGGTCCACTTCACACGTGGGAAGCCAGAGGTCTTTAACTTTTGACCTGGTTCTTTATCCACGTCAGCGAAGTTGCCAAATGGAGTTTCCACGTGGTTGGGTTTTGGAAGCTGGTCGGGACCCACGTGCCATGTCGGTCCTCTTCTATTACCAATTTCTGTTTTATTTATTTCTAATCAAAATTATATAAATAAAAAATTTACAATTTGCCTCAACTACTTTCAACCTCTTAAATAGAAGGACAACAAAAAGGAAAAAGAGGATTATTATTCTAATCTATACTTTTAATTAAAATAATGAACTATTTCAATTTATACTTTGCATCTTTGACACAATAAATAAGCTAACTTATTGTTGGATAATGTCCTCCAATAGATGCCTCCCATACCCACTTTCTTCATCACTTAATTAATTAAGAATTTTTCTTTCTTTCGATTTTTTAAAGGACACGATACTTTCACTTTAAAATCGAATAAAAATAATAAATTAGATTTGTATCGATAAACGGATACTTTATCAATCATCGACTATTTTTTAAAAGTGTCATCGAACTTATTAAAAAGAGTCTATGATTGATAAAAATTAAATTTATGTACTTTTTCTTTTAGTTTTTAAAAAAGTATCATCTTGTTGATGCTATGATTTTCACCAACGAGAAGTACGTAGATTCCGTGATGAAACTTATATAAGAGATTGTATAAAATCTACAATTTGGTGTTGGGTCAATGAATCAATCAATGAATAACACAAACAAAAGATTTTTAAAGTGGTTTGGATGCGAGGCACAAATCCTATATTCATGGTTTTTGTATTATTTTTTGTATACAATTGCAGCTGGTACAAAATATCAAATATGACATAAAAAAATTCTCTTAACTTGAATGAAAAGTCAGTTTATATACCGTTATAATGACAAACTTATAAATAAAATTAATCTAATACAGAATGACACATAATGTGAATCTGCGTTTCGAGAGTTGACCTCACAACACATCTAAATGATAATAACTTTAGAGAAGCAATAAGAGATGGTCGAGTCCACGTCATCATGGGTTTTTGTTAATATAGTGATTAGTGGTGTGGATAAGCATCCTAGATTAGGTGTTTTAATAACCTTTTTTAGGGCTTTTAATTAGAGGAACATGGACAAGAGTAAAGACAAACCAATGACAGTTTACGTTCGTGTTTTGTTTGCCTGGCTGTGTCTTGTGCTGTTGTGCATAATTGAGCAACATGGTAGATTTCTCAAATTAAAAAACTTTATACAGTTTGTTAATTGAACCCTTCATCTTTATGGTAAAATAAATAAGAGAGTGAAGTGACCCTTGCTTCCTATGAGGAGTTATATTCTTCTCTTTCACTCACATGATACGGGAATGTACGTAGTTCAATTAAATATATAGTAGTGAGATGTGACCTAATCTTTGGATTTCATTGGACCACTAATTGCTATCAATATAAGTATTTATTTATTAGTAGCTTATGGGAAAATAAACCCACATTTGAGTAGCTCAAATGGTAGAACGAGCACTGAGATGTGTGGTTAAGGAGCACTGTCTCAGATTTGAATTCCTTTGGCTTTCAAGATTTAAGTATACGCAAACTGGTTCAATAAGGTATGCGCAAGTTGGTTCGAACGCCCTGTTTCAAAGGGGAAAAAAAATGGCCTATGGAAAAATAAGTGAAAATATTTTTGTGGGTATTGAATAAAAACGTTTTTGGAACACATTTTAAATGGGAAAAGAAAAAGGGTGCAAATGGATATTATTAAATATTATATAGTGTAGCTATCTTTGATGGTGTTGTTCACCTAGCTTGTATTGATTATTGTTTGTGTTATATTCATAATTGCTGAGGCCAAGTGAGGAGAGTTATTGGGGTTAAGAACATATTCATTCATCTTTCAAGTTTGGTAAAAGTTTTTTTAATCCGTAGGTTCTAAAAAGTAACATTTACACCTCATATTATTAATTAAAATCCAAAAAATAAGATTATAGAAAAGACCCACCAATAGTATTGTGTTCAATAGTTTTAAAAAATTAGACCGGTCAAGAAAATATCAAATTTTTATATTTGGTTAAGGTTTAATTAGTCCTCAAGGTTTAAAGAGTGACAGTTACACCCCTGGTAGCTCCTGGTGATGGGGGTGGCTAGCTTAGGAGTTAGGATCCACACCAGTCTACAGTGTAGAAAAGGAACATGCCGTGGATTCCCCCACCAGCCCCTCAAATAAGGGATGCTTCTTTTACTGTCGTCACTAGAGAGCAAAAGACAACAACAATTCTCTTATAAATAATACAGCAATCAAAGTGTTTGTGTAAATGCAAGAGAGAAAAGGTGTTTACTTTGATTGGAAGAAGTATTAATATTGTAATGCACGCCCCATGTGGAGACCAATTTGGTTGGTGTTCCTTGGCTGCCCTTAGCCTGCACTAATTTCAACCAGACCCCACAACTTGACAGTTCAGCCCACTTCCCCTTTTTTTTACCCACCTAGGATTAAGCAAAATGAGCTCAATCGTGTCCTGGAGGGTACTAAAACAAATGCAATTAAGATATTAACTTAAGGCTTAGGTGGGTTACCTTTTTAAACCATATAAAAATCATCAGCTTGGAGTTGTGAAGACAATCATGGGCTTAATACAATCTTTTAATACAAGGTTTTTATGAGTGGAGTTTTGCCCCTCTTTCAATTTGCTGCCACGTAAGCATTTTGAACATTTTTTGTGAGTGGGATTTTGGTCCCTCCCCATGACTTTCTTTTGACCTTATTTATTTATTTATTTTTTTTCTTAATTAAGTTCATCACTTGATCCCAACCGTTGGATCTTCCTTGTTGGTTTATCCAATGGATGGCAAAAATCTTGATATCCACTGGCTCTCATTTCTTGTGCTTTTACTTTGTTGTATCAAGAAGAAAAAGACACGAAAATCATCTGTGGAAGTGACCACTAGAGAGATTACACATTTTCGCCGGGCCCCAAACACCTCATTCTCTTGTCTTCTTTTATGCAAAGTAGTGGGTTTTTACATTGACCAAAATTACACTGTAATATTACCGATTCTGTATATCGACTTCTCATTTTGATTGAGATGGGGTGTGATGTGTCATCGCACCGCACTCCACGTTAATCGGGATGGAGAGTTAGTGTGCAAAATAGTAAGTTTATTATTAGTTTAATTAGCAAATTTGAATCTTAATTAGGGTGATAATTAATCTCAAGATTCCAATAAATTATCGTCAAATTAAAGAAGATAATTTGTTCTGACTATTTACGAGTCTAATCATATAGAATAACAATCAACAACTGGTCATATAAACACAAAGAGATTGGTCAAACGGAATAGTTAACCACTAATCAAGTCAAAACCCAGGTTACTATTCCGCGAAAATCATATGTGGAAGTGACCACTAGAGAGATTACACATTTTCTCCGGGCCCCAAACACCTCATTCTCTTGTCTTCTTTTATGCAAAGTATTGGGTTTTTACAGAAGCAAAATTACACTGTAATATTATCGATTATGTATATCGATTTCTCATTTCGATTGAGATGGAGTGTGACGTCTCCTCACACAGCACTCCACATTAGTCGGGATGGAGAGTCAGTGTGCAAAATAGTAAGTCTAGTATTAGTTTAATTAGCAAATTTGAATCTTAATTAGGGTGATAATTCATCTCAAGATTCCAGTAAATTACCATCAAATTAAAGAAGACTAGCTTACCTGACTATTTAAGGGTCTAATCGTATAGAATAACAATCAACAACTGATCATATAAACACGAAGAAATTGGTCAAACGGAATAGTTAACCACTAATCAAGTCAAAACCCATGTAACTATTCTCTTAGTGGTCACTCCAAACCCCTATTAGCACTCAATTTAGTGCTTCAATTAGGTCAATGGGGTTCTTCCTAAATGCTAATGGATGATTAATCAATAACCTTAATCTTTCATACATATATGATTACAGGATCGCTAATCAATTTTACATTAATTAATAGAGCACTAAACTTATAATATATAAACATTGTTTACAATTTCCAAGAAAAAAAATATACAAAAAAAAAAGGAACCCATTAGAATAAACTTTCATTAAACATATTGGAAATTGTATTTGTACCACATAACTAATTCGGTAGACTATTATAGTATATATACATGGTTGAACTCCTCTCTTCCTTTGAACTAGCTTTTCAGAGTAGTTGAGTCCGATTTGGACCCTGGTTTGTTTAATGAATTGTAATTTTATTTTTTATTTTTTATTTTTTTTCTGTTTACAACCACACAAGTTCGTAGTGTTTGATGTTAGCTTACCTACCAACAATATGAAGATTAAACATAATTAATCGTTGAACTAAATTAATCATAATAATTTATGCTTAATCTTTTGGTCAAATGGAGATGGATGACAATAAGCAGAAGACTTTTAATTTTGTTCATTAATTCTTCCCAGCTCAACCACCTACATTGCACCTATTAGTAAAATGTCAATATCCAAAATTACACTTGTGAGGTCCCTTCGTCTCTTGCCTGGTTT